AGGGCTGTTATTCTGGCAGGTGCGGTGCGGGGCCATCTGTCAGCGTGAGAGTTCGCAAGACGATCTTCGGATGGCTTCTTTTGCGCTCTCGCCGCATAGGTCGTCCTCCAAATTGCAGCTCAGGTCTAAACTCACGCGAGTGGCACCAGATTCAAAGGGAACCCCGAGACAGGGCCACAATTTGGAAAGCTACCCACTTGACAACATCCAAGTGCATCTCCCCCTTCAGACATCAAAGGAAAGCTCATGCACTTCTCTTCCTTTTGCCGCGTTGTTGCGAAGGGTGAACCCTCGAAGCGGGAACGGCTCTTGCATGCTGTGCGTGCATGACAAAGGCTTCGCGGGTGGCAGAGATCTTGCAGTCGGCATGCCAGGAAGTCATGGATTCTCGCGCTACTTGTGAATCCAGAAGATGAGTTGTGCCTTGCTAAGAATGGAAACACCTGCAACCTAAAACCAAACTCTGGGCACATCCACACGGAAGCCTTCATCAGCAACTCCTCAGTTTCGAAGCGTAATATCAGTTCCGTCCTGCTCGGTGTCGTAGTTCCTGCCCGGACATGGCAAGTTTGAGCTTGGGCAGGGGCCGGGTTAGACAGCTTAAGCGGCCTCTGAAACTTGCAGGCATCGACCACGTCTTGCCATGCGAGGATACGAACTCGCACAGGCACCCTTTCGGCACCTCAGAAGGCATTGATCGGGTCAAAAACCGTTAAACCCCTTTGCGGCATCGCTGCACGATGCCTCGTAAAGCTCTCAGTGCTACAGCTCTCTTCTCGTCTTCACTCGAGCTGACTCGAGCACAGAGCGGCCAGGAGCCCAATGCTGCCACGGCCACATATGCGTCTTTGATATTCATGGAGGCAGTAGAGCCGCCGATTGTCCTGGCAGCTTGGAAGCTACACTACACTTTTACACTTTCCCCGGCTTCAACAACGGGAATGTGCTTTGAAAGGGAGGCAAATCAAAATCAAGCTGATCTTAGGCACGGCATGGGAGCTACTTAAAAGAACCCTCACCCCTTCATCGAGCCTTCGAGTACAGGGCGGGGTTCCCCTGGGCGTCGGACTTTTCCACAACGGTCAGCATCAGAAACCTTGGCAGTGCGTGACTTAGTCGGGCGGCTTGAGCCGTCGGATCCCTCAACCCGAACCCAAATACTCCGGGCAGCTCATCCGTCATGGGGTTGTAGGTACCCCTCATGAGGCCTTGGATCAGCTCCTCACCACCGGGGCATACGGGTGGAGCTGACCGACGAGCAATGTATGGAGAGTCGCTACATCCCAAGGCCCTCCCCCACCTCCAGGCTGCGTCCATCCTGGACAGGGTGAAACAGTAGGCGTGCCAACTTGGCACGCGACAATGATAGGTGTCTTGAGATCATCGAATCATGTCTGACAAACCGGAAACAGGTCGAGATCGTGCCGGAGGCCCTCAGCATGTCAGCGTGTCTCTTGTCCTGGAACCGCCGCTTCATAGACTTCTGCGAGAAGCGGACGTCTTTTGCGTTGACAATGCGCACGGCCGCCTTGGAGCCATAGTGGGGCGCCAAGGAGGTGCTTCGAAGTATGGCCTGGACGAGCCGTCGCTGCTTGGGCTCTGGCGAGAGAGGGAGGCAAAGCTTCCGTCCACTTGCCATTGTTCGAGTAGTAGCCTCAGCTCCGAAGGGAGGACCCCCACGGTCCCCCGAATGCATGGAACGCTGCCAGGCCACCAGAATCAGTGTCGGAGGGCAAAGAAGGCAAAGAAGGCTGAGAGGGCATGGAGGGCACAGAGAGCCCGCCTGTCAAGGAACTCCCAAACCCTCGAGCAGCCAAGCGATCTGATCGCCTGTCATACTCCTGCTCACAATTTAAAGTGCAAAGAAGGTGCCTGGTGCCAAGTCCGGCAGGTCGGTGATTTGGCCGCCGAGGCGGACGTCGATGCAGACCGGCGCGTGCGAACCTCGGAGGCATCACTGAGCCCTCGGACCCTGTCGCATGTTCTTGGCACTTATGCGAGCGCATGTGAGCAACACTGCGGTCAGGTGATCTTCGGCTTTTGATGGCAGCTGGGAAGGTTGAAGCTTCAGAACCGTTAAACTTCCACAAGATGTCGAGGCCCCCGCCCTTTAGAACGTGCGCGGCCTTTCGCTGAAACTCCTGTCGTGGGCCCCAGGCAGCGACGCTCCAAAAGCATGGGACGAAGTCAAGTGCAAGACAATCTGCCACACACAGGGATTGCTTTCTGGGCCTTCAGAACTTCGTAAAACTCCG